CAGATCGATATTAGAAGCAGCATATTTCTCACGTTCCCAGTTAAGGCACGCAGTACTCGTCTCATCAACAAATCTTTCAGTGATGCTGAATTCTAAAGTGCGCGCCATCACTCACTACCTGATACAAGAACAAAGATAAACAGAAACAAATAAATGCTCAGGAGTGGCAAGAGTAGCGGCAAAAGAAGGAGCACTACGACAAACGTTATCACTATTACCACCACCACCGCAATGATGGCCTCCATTGATGGCCAGATCATCAGAAACAAAAGGTAACGTTCCGGGTGAAACTCAGCATGTTTACAATGCGAAATGCAAGGGTGCGAATGGAATCACTAGTGTGCTGGCCCCAGGGATGACCAGTCAGGTGGCACCTTTGAACTAACATGAAAAAATAAAAAGAAACAAACCGATCGTTGTGAAGAGTTCTGCCGACAGCCGGGAAGATTGATGATGATTGAGAAACGGCGGTTGCAGCGATTGTCATCGTTCGAAGCATGTTCGCGTACGCAATCGGGTCAATCATTTGGGCATGCCAAAGAGTAGCCGGTGGCGGAGACTGCTCCTGTACAGTGGTGCCCATGCATGATGATGAGGATGAGGATGACGATGAAGACGATGACGATGACGCTGATGACGATAACGATGCTGGCGCCGATGTTACCACCATAGATGATGAAGCTACTACCGCTGTCACACCTGTGCTTGCTGCTGCCGCCGCCTCTGCTGCTGCTGCTTGCTTCTCCTTTTGCTTGTCAGCCAGCTTACGGACCATTGCATCGAGACGATTACCGCAACCGTCCCGTTTCCGACGGGTACCGATACCGTTGCTGATGGTTGTAGCTATCGAAGTAAAGCTATTACTGCTATTCGCCAGAATGCTGCGAACAGCAGCAGTAGCACTGCTGCAGCTACCGTCAGGTAGGTGGTTTTCAGGATGACGGTTCGGTGAAACCGGTGACATAAGGCTCATTGGAGCTGTGGTACTGAACACGAAGCTCGATGACTCCGGTGAGGATGCGGAAGCACCCGTGGACTGGAAACCTGATTTCGGTGAAAAACAACTACTGGATGGGTGCCTTTGCTGCAGCTGCTGTGAAGCGGAATTCGTGCGCTGTTCCTCCTCTTCTTCGTCCTCCTCTTCCTCCTGCTCCTCATTCGTCGTCTGCACTGCACTGAAATACAAAGCATTTATCCCTCAAGCCAATCGCATAAGCCCTTCAAAGCAAGCACACGCACTGTACTCGAGCTGTTTTTAGCAGCAAAGGAATAGGAGTGCAAAAGGGAGAATACTCGAGAAAAAGACACTAACCAGTCGATGAGCGGAGCCGGCTCGTCCACTTTGCCATTCAGCGCATCCTGGATGAATCGCTTAAGCTGGCGAATTTCGCGCAGCAGCTCGTTGTTGGAGTGCTGTCGATCAGCGGTGATCAGAGTGAGTGGCAGCACGCTGAGGTCGGCGGTGGCGAATACCGGCCACTGCTGCTGCTGACCGCAGCTGACCATCAGCTGGTCGTAGAGTTGCAGCAAATCGTCCTGGCTAGCCAGCGGCACGCGCCCCCCTGCCAGTTCGGCCAAAGTCGCGTGCGCCATGGCGATCGCGCCTTTCGAAAAATAGCTGCGGATCAGCGAGTCGAGCTGTGTCCGCGGTACACTCTCGCGGTAGTTGTGAATGAAACAGAGCACCGAGTTGACAACGACCGGCCGATCCATCGAGGACCACTGCCCCGAGCGGAGGGAGCAGCACTGGAGGGAGGCAAGCAAACTGCCTGTGTAATGTGTCGCCCGGCGACCGACCAACCGACCGACCGAGCGACCGACCAACCGATCGACCGACCGATTGAGGCGATGGGCACAAGTTCGTTGTCACTCCGTTATCGCCACCCTCGCCCCAAACCCAAACTCGTTATCAGAGGGAAACAGCGAGAACGGCGCTCTCGGCACGTCGCCTCAACAGCCCAAATGCGCTACCCGCCCAGTCACCAGTGATACCAGCGAGACTGCTGCTGCTGCTGCTGCTGCGGCTGCTGCTGCT